TCATTCAGGGTCCTCGCCCTCAGACATACTCCCTTATACTCATTCAGGGTCCTCGCCCTCAGACATACTCCCTTATACTCATTCAGGGTCCTCACCGCTGAACGTGTCCAATTTGCTGCAGCGATCGCTACACTGGCTGCTCGGTTTTCCGGTGTCACCTCCCCTTTATGTCTTTGGCCCCAGAGGTGAAGAGGTCGCGTGTGAGAGCATGTGGACAATAGGGGTGTTTGTGGAGGACAAGGGGACCGCCGTGGGGGTGGCAGGGGGACGGGGATGGGGGGGGGGGCTCGGGGCAGGGTTAGGAGAGAGCATATTCTTGCAGTAATCAAATCACAGCTCCGTTACAGTCTCCTGACCCCAGCCAGAGTGAAAGGCCTTCGTAAGTCTGACTGCGTCTGCCTGGGGAAATTAATTTTTCAATTGAATTAATGCCAGAACCTGAAGGTCCCTCAATAGAGAGGCATTTGTGCATTATAAAGCTATTTCTGTGAGGAAGTCCGGCGCTGATTTACAGGCAAAGCACAGACCCCCCTCCACATCAGCTCTGATTAGCCCAGAGGAGGGAAACGTCCTGCCTGACAGCTGAATGCCACACAGATGAGGCAGCCGCCCAGAACGGCTGCCGGACCTCCTGGGCTCGCTGTACAACGAATCTGAGCAACAATATTTGCCACAGTCCAGGCCGGCCGGAAGCTGCCCGTTCCCCAGACGAGCCCCGATCTCCAGCACTACTTTGGCCCCAGTCTGGGTCTGAAGGTGGCTCCACTGCCCCCACCGCTTAAAGGGGTCTTAACGAGTCAATCTGCTGTGTTTTTCGGGACCAGCAAGCAGGGAAAACTGCAGGTAAACGCCTTCCTGTGTGAAGGCCGGTTCCCAAAATCAGGAAAAGTTAGGTGCTGCATGGTGACAGAGAACCAACCAAATGATATCATCAGCCGACCGTTTCCTCCCGACTAAACAGACGTCTTCGCCAGTCACTGCGCCAAAGCTGGCCTGTTAGTGATAATTAGATTCATATGAAATTCCATTTTCTTTATTTTATAGAGTAGCATTGTAGACGATTTTTAATTTCTTACGGTTTCTGGGGCTAAGCCAATTTTAGGCAGAGCTCTGTGTAAATCCTCATTTGTTTTAATTTTAATATGCAGCAATTTAAGCACAATAACGGATGTAGCCGGATTTCTTAATTTTTGAACTGAGCTCTCATGTTTGCTGTACTCTTGCACTGCAGTTTTAATTCATGTGGGTCGGTATATATACAGGATTTCATTTTACGAGTTAAGCAGTTTCGTCCCTAACTTCATTGCTAATTTAGCCCTCTCTCTCTCTCTCTCTCTCTCTCCCAGTATTGGGGTTATTACTGGTTTAAATGAGCTGAATAATTAGAAGACAAAAATAGAGTGAAATGCTTATACCCCCCACTACGAGCAGGACTGCAGATCCCTGGGCTAGAATGTAATTTGTCAGTAATTGAAGTTGTTATTTATTTGTTTATTTTAATTTCATGCTAAGCCCTTGTTGGCTGTTTGTTTAATTAACTAACCCCGCCCCTTCTGGTTCCAGCATGCCCCTTGGGTTTCTTCAAGCCCGTACAGGGTGACAGCCCGTGTCAGCTATGCCCCATGAACAGCCGCACCACCAGCGAGGGCGCCTCCAGCTGCGTGTGCCACAGCGGCTACTACCGCACCGACGCCGACCCCTTCCAGATGCCCTGCACCAGTACGTAACCGTGCCTCACCTGCACTCCCGCATACCACCACCAGGGCGGCGACTTTCAATCGAGCTGAACCAGTCTCAGCGAGTCTGCGAGTTAGCAGGCCACACTTAGGGAAGAGAGCGGTCCGTGGCATTGTGATCTGCTGAAAGGGAGGCCTGGGCAGGCCTCATTTCGACGCCCCCCCACAAAGGAATTAGCATAAGCCCGGCCTCCTGAGAAGAGCAGCCGCTTTGAATAAGAAGGCAGGGTTACTGTGGCAGTGCGGGTCTCTGCGGCTCGCTGTGATTAAAGTGGGAAAATGAACACATTTCGCCGCTCTTCCTGCCTCCCCTCCCCAATGCTGGGCCGCACCACATCCTTTTAAACCATACCCCCCCCCCCAGAAAAAGGAGCTGTTTATAAACAGCAGAATGTTGGATAACCTAAATGACTCCACCCCCCCCCCTTCCAAAATGGATGTTTCTCATGGCGGGCTGATGCTGAGGTTGCGCGTACGGGCCAGGTTTACCGTAAGTGATGTGCACACGGCGTGTCCGTGGCAGACGTGAACAGTGAGGGGGGTGGGGGCTGTCTCTGGTAGGAGCGCCTCATTGGCCGCTCGCCCGGTCCAGCGTCTGTCCCCTTTCCGAATGCCTCTCTGGGCTTGTTAACTTCTCCTCCATGTGAGGTATTTCAAGCGCAAGCTGGTTCCAGCCTTGCACATTTGCACGCTTGTGCCCCCCCTTGGACACCGGCTCCAGGTTTTGGATGTGGGATTTTTCTGGGCTAGAAACGTCGGATGACAGGGCAGTTTGTTTTAATGCAGTGGTTCTCAGCTGGGTTAACCTCAGCCCCCCCTTGGGCGTTAAGACACGGCCCAAAATTTGAACCATTTTTATTCCACAAAAAATAGTGCAGTAATAGTGATTAGATCACAGTGTTGTAACAGAAGCACAATGCCTTCGCGTATTATAAAAAAAGGCAACACACATCAATATATATATATATATTTTTAACTATACACTCTATAGCCCAATGAAGATTGCCCCGCAGTGCCAGAGCTGTAGCCAGCAGTTTTAAAAACACCAAGGTCGAAAATGTTAGGCTTCCTAAGCGCCATAATGGATCTGGGTTATTGGAGTTGCAGAAAAAATACTGAGGACTTGACCTCGGTGTCCTCAGTGGTAGGTGTGCTATGCGCGACCCACTTTTGGGTCGTGATCCACTGTTGAGAAGAAGTTTTAGTCATTTCTAAGGCAGCGCTCTGGTCTCCTCCTGCTGGGACGGCTTTCCGTCTGGAGAGCGTGGGACTCTCTGAAGGGGGAGGTGAGGGTATACGTGCAGGGGTGTGCTGGGGCGACATGGACCCCCTTCTCTTCTCGCCGTGGGGAAACGGGCCATCCTGGGTGCCTGGGAGATCCGCCCTTCAAAGTGTGAACCCTCAACCTCGATTCGGCGCATGGCTGCCTCGCCTGATTAAATTATTAAATTAGCTCTGCTCCAAGTGCGTCGAGCGCATTAATTCTGCCTCTTGTTCCCGTTGAGGCATCGGCCTGCTCTTTCTGGGAGGGCGACCCCTGCTTGGGACCCCCCCGGCTGACTTTACATGCAGTTGCGAATCTGAAATTTTTACCTGAAATGATTTACATTTTTTGCCCATTTGCACAGCTGACTGTTTTAATGAAGCGATTTGTGTTAAGGTGACTGCCACCCCCCCAGGGGGGCCCCTGCCTCCCTCCCTGTGTTTTTTGGGACGGGCCCCCAGTCACCCTGTACCGATGACGGAGAGGTGGACAGAGTTAAGTCAGGAGCTTGATACCCCATCTTGCTCTCCATGAGACCCCCAGACCTATTTATGGGTGAGAGGAAGGTCATAGCGCAGGGTCAGTCAGCATGCGGCGCCCGTGGAGCTGGGGGTTAAGGGGCCCCTTGCTCAGGGGCCCAATGGCAGCAACAGTCTGCTGGCCCTGGGATTCAATCCAGCAACATTCTGATCCTAGCCGGTTGAGCCACGTAACACCGCCTATCATCCCCTCTAACAGCTGTCCCATCCGCCCCGCGGAACGTGATCTCCAGCGTCAACAAGACGTCACTGACGCTGGAGTGGATGCAGCCACGTGACTTGGGGGGCCGCGAGGACCTGGTCTACAACATCATCTGCAAGAGCTGCAGCGCAGGCCGTGGGGGCTGCGCCCGGTGCGGTGACAACGTGCGCTTCTCCCCGCGGCAGCTGGGCCTGACGGAGCCGCGCGTGCAGGTCAGCGAGCTGCTGGCCCACACCCGCTACACCTTCGAGGTGCAGGCCGTCAACGGCGTCTCCGACCAGAGCCCCTACTCGCCGCAGTACGCCGCCGTCAACATCACCACCAACCAGGCCGGTGAGTCCCATGGTTACCGTGACGACCGAGCACCTCAGTCTAGGTCTGTGGCGACTGACAGCTATAAAGCCCGTGCTAACGACCCGGTGGTCAGCGTGTGACAGACACCAGCTCCCCTGCTGTAAATGTCACACCTGCTGCGTTAAACAGCAGCATCAGCTTCCGCTCCGACACCAAAGTATTTGACCAGCAGAGCAAAGCAGACTTACGGCTGGTGATAATGACGCTTTTCCCGGATAATGAGCTGAGCGCCCAAAAAGCAGCAGAACCTTCCCTGCTATCTCTTCCGGGCCTGTTATGCCGGAGAAGTTTGACCTTGAAATGCCAAGGCTTGAATTGAAGTAGCAATTATAAGGATGCGGGTTATGCGTTAAACCCAGGTCCGTTAACGATACGGTGAACACTTCAGGGCAAATCATTTTCTAAAGTAGTAATTCTGTCCTTCGAATTAACAAAGTGTGTGTGTGTGTTATTTTCTTTTGTATGTCTAATGAATTTCTATTCTATCAATTACGTTTAAAAGTAAAACCGTTAAAAGCCTATATATTCTGTTGTCCCGTTACCTCAGTACTGATGAGCTTTTTAATGGCAGAGTCTGTCTCTCGCTCATTAGCATCAGCTGTCCTTTATGCGCCCGCAGTGATTTGCTGTCCTGCGTCAGTCCCGGCTCACCGGCCTTGATGAAGTCCTCCATTGCGCGCATTCAATGCGCCGCATTCACTGACACGCAGCGACGCAAACGCACACCATTGCAGCCCACCGCGGGCCTTTGTGTGAAGGAACTGCCTTCGGAAACACAAGGAAATGACAGGACGGTCATCCCATTAAAAGCGTTTCTTCTTTTTTAAAAAAAATCTTTTGCTTTCCAAACGGAGCGTTTTTTGTTTAGGAGGGGGTCTTGTGTGTAATTGGCCACCGAGGTTTAGTCAGAGGACGTGAGATAAGAGTCCGAGTCTATCTATTAAAGTCTTTCGGGCCAAATGAGATGAACACAGCTGTCACCTCCTCAGCCTTCTTCTGCCGTCTCTGTTCCCTCAGGAAAGCCTGCAAACCGCAGCCATTCCTACTACGCCTGACAGCATGCTGGCTCTATTTACCATGTCTGTCCCTGATTCCCCTCCTCCCCCATCTTATCTCCCGTCCCCATCGCTCTCATTTCACACAGGCCCCCTCTGATCGTTATTTGTCAGGGTGGCTGTGACGAAAACCCCATTTTGCTCACGGTATTTCTGAGACGCGTCTTCCTGAGGCGCAGTGCGCACCGAGCAGACGTCCCCCGACACACACGCGGGTGAAAAGCTGCCGCTTTGTCTTTCTGTTTCAGAGCCGCTCCATGTTTACCCAGAATGCCGCTGTGGTATTCCCAGCACAGATTCATCGAACAGCATAATTTGAATTGAGCTACGTGCTACATTGTTTTCACAGTAAAGAAATTACAGTTTTTTGGTGGATTCAAGGAGAGAAAAAGCAGCAAAGTCCCCTCAGTGTAACACAATTGTTCTGAGCCAGTTTTAAACCATTTTTTCCCCCCAAAGCACTGAAGTAATCTTTTTTTAAAGCAGTAATATAAAAATCCCATTAGGAACCTTTAAGACAACATGAGTCTAAAGCCGTCTTAAAGGGCCGGGTTTCCAGCAGCTTAATATGTATCTTTAATTTTATTACATCATTACTAACACTAGATTGCCTTGGAGCGACGTTGTCCAGTGTGAAAGTGGGGGTTTCCACACAATCCAGCTCTTTTCTCTGCACTGTATTAATTGTGGGACTCCTCCCCCCCCCCCCCCCCGCCCCCCATTTGCCATGGTAACAAAGGCCATGCGGCCTAATAAAGTTTTCTAATGAGATTCTTGGACCCCGGTCCCCCTGCTTTGGCATGGCTCACTGGCTGGACCCCCCCTCCCTTTTGCTGCCATGGGGGGGGCAGGTTGGCCTGTCAACTTGTATTATGGGCCGAGGCCTAACGTCACGGGGAGCTGTGAAAGGCCAAGCTTTGGGTCACGCTGGCACCCCCCGGGACTGTGGCCTTACTCCCCACCTGACTTGGTGGGGGGGGGGGGTTTCTGGTGTAAAAAGCAGGCTCGAGGGTCGGCAGAGTGGTCCACAATTAAGTCGGGCTCTGAAGGCTCATAGGTTATATAAACATATTGTCGCTCTGAATTAACACAGGCCCTTTTAAGTACCTTCTGCGTGTGTATGTATATATGCAGAAGCCGTGCGGTCGACTTGGTATAGAATTCATTGGAAAATAAATAAATGAATTATTGGGCAGAAAGTAATTTCCATAAACAGCTGTCCTCCTCTTAACTGGCTCTGCTTTATGCTATGTGACATTTGTCTCATTTTACATTGTCCCCCACACCTCGTCAAATCAAATAAACATAAATAGTTTTAAACGGCCTTTTAGTCGTGAATGTTGAATTTGAACGGTCGTTCAGTTTCTGTTGGTAGAATGACTTTGATAATTTTTATGGAGCCAAAGCAACTGGTGTTTTTTTCCTCGTTATGGATTCACGGCGCTGTCTAGATGGTCCACAGTGGAGCGAGATTTCATCACACGGGAATTTTGTGGTTTTAGTGTCACTGAACTAAGCTTCAGGGCATCAGGACAGAAGCAGGGCAGCCCTTTGCACTGACAATGACACACGTCTCTCTCGTGTCGTGATGTGAAGCATTGAGTCTGCAGTGGTGTGATCAGCAGCTAGGTGACCAGTTGGTAGGCCCCCAAAAAGCAGGCTTGCTGTCCTGTATATCCAGCTGAATAATAAACTAAGTAACATTTGGATATGATGTAATGCAAGTTAATTGTGTGCATGCAGATATAGACGTTTAAACTCAGTTATATTTTATGGCCCCATATGTCTTGATGTAAAACACATGGGCATTGTAGAATTTGGAAACACTGACATCTGACAGCAACACTCGTCTCCATTAAGATGACCGTTCCCTTTGTTCCTGTTGTGAGGACAGCGTAGGGCTGTTAGGGGCTGTCAGCTGGGTACCTTGACACCACCTGCTACTCCGGATGGCTGTCGGTGAAGCTGTCCTCCGTGAATGACCCTATAGACCGGCTCCTCTGTATGAGTGCAGCCAGCAGAGGACAGGAACTGTGTAAGAGAAAAGGCAGATTGAATGGACCGTGTTTGAAGGCCACAGTGTGACAACCTGTTAATCTGGCTTAGTCACCGATGCAGCTGCTCTGCTTGCGTTTGAATTCGCGCAATTAAATCGTTTCATTTCTATTGTGAGTCCCATATGCAAAATTTACTACAAATACTAATTGGGTGTTTGTGTTGAGCATTTATCTGTTGTTTAGTATGCCTGTAAGTGTAATGTACAGTTTGATAAATAGTCTACACAAGCAAATATAAACGTAAATGAACTGTCGTTTTCAGATACAGCAGAGCCATTTAAATATAACAAAACAGACGCGCCCGAAAGTCAGTTGTCCAAATAACAATCTCAGCAATCGTTTGAAAGCTCTTCTCAATAATTGTCAAAAGGACAAAGAGACTGTGCTTTGCGTTGCCCAGACTCTGAAGCAGCTAAGCAGCCTCAAGACATAATGCACCCATACTAGCTTTCTGTGGCTGATTTAAGGTTCTTCTCTTCAAAGTCAGTTGTTGGTCAGCATCAAACAAGGTGCCTGGCTTTGCAACCACATAATTCTGCCTTTGACTACTTTTCTGAGCACAGAGTGCAGCCTTCCTGACCTCCCTTGGCTTTTTCAGCCTTTTTCTGTTTGTTGACTCTTGCACGTTGATCTTGACTGCGGCCAGACATGCCCGTATCTCCTTTGATGTCACCCTGCAGTTCTTGGAGACATCCTTCACCGTCCTTCACCATCCCTGACCATCTTTCAGGCAATTCAGGTCGCTGAATTTCATGGGGCCGCCTGCCCTGGGCGGGTCACCAGTGCTTCAGATTTTTTTCCATTTCTAAATTATCTTTTGCACAGTAGAATGGTGGACTTGCAAATCCTTTGAAATGGTTTGGTATCCCAGACATATGGGCATCAATAGTTTTTTTTTTCCTCTTGGATCCCTTGACAGCCATGTTGACCTTGGCAAGATTCACCCTTCTGGTAACTTCAAAATCCAAACATCCTTGCGCTAACACAGGCCCTTAAACCTACTCTCTGTTAACTGGCAAATACTTTGCACTGCCTAGTCTAACAGAAATAAATCCTCATCAGTGCAAAAGATGATGAAACTATGGTTGTATGTTTTCCACCACAGAAAAGTATATATATCTTGAATTTAATTTAAATATTGCACATTTTCCATTTTGTTAAATATGCTCACCTATCTGATACCACTTGACTTTTCACAGAACTGGATGCATATTTAAGTGTAGCTTTTTAAATATTGCTTGGAAATGAAACTGTGGGGGGGTGCACCTGTTCTTTTTAACCCGAAACGGTTTGGTAAACATTCGTCAGTGCGGAAGGGTCATCATCGCAAGCAAGCTTTAATAGGGGCATCTGCTTGGCGAGTACATTAAATAATTTAATAATACGCCTGTCATGTTTGATTTATCCAAATGTACTTTAAACAAAGTTTGAAACTCCACAGTTACCCGGCGGTAAATCGTACAGGAACGATTATTCATTGAGCCAATGGCACACGTGGAGTTTTTTCCATGGGCTGCTGTGATTGGTGGACAGCTATGTCATCAGGGAGTGGGCCCAAGAGAGCCCTTCACACTATGTGCTGGTACCACACAGGCCCCTGTGCTGCTTAAAGTCGGGTCACTGCTGCCATTAAATGAAATCTGCTTCTGTTCTTGGTCCATAAATCATGTCGGGCTGCGTGGGTTTGCCATACCAAGCATTTATTTTTTTTTCGTCATTTGTTTTATAAGAGTGACTGAGGTATGTTTTGTTATATAGCAAAACTTTATCTGTCAGGGCTGGTCCGGATTAAAAAAGTTAATCAGGACTATAAGAGTCTTATACATCCAAGAATAAACACAAGTAATGTGATGTTTTTTTTAGTCCATTGGAAAGTTTGGAAGTTTTATATATATATATGAACAGATATATATATATATGTGTGTGTGTGTGTGTGTGTGTGTGTGTATATATATATATATTAATATACTTACTTGTTTTAGGAACAGAAGGGAGATGCAACTAAAATCTGGTTGACACATTTAGCGCGCAACACTAAAATTATGAGAAGCACGGTTAGAAATTATGACCATTTGATATTGAATAAACCTTTAAAGATGTATATTATTCTTGTTCCTGTTTTTTCCTGTGAAGAATAACTACCTTCACACTATTGCAAAATGTTAGCATTAACGAGAGTCTGAGGATTCTTCAGTGTAGATGGATGTAAATTTGATTAATTGCGGTGTTACTTCGCCGTTTATTACTGCAGATGTTATAGTAATTTGCTTGGTTATGAGGATAATCACTTTACCTGGTCATTCCATTTGTCATCCACGGCTCCGAACTCACGTGTAACTTTTCCATTCACAAACAGCAGTATGTGTTCATTATTCTGCATTTAAACTGAAACGCAGGTGATGGACATGAGTGCAGCAATGAACTGGGAAAACAGACATTTCTCCAGCAGTATTAGTCTGGTTTAATGGGGAAAAGCCCCAGATTTACAAGCCATGGTCTTTTCTTGGTGGACACGCATCCCAGACATTTCTATTCACAGAAAACGTCCAACCAGGGATGGTGTTAAGGGTGGTCCCATCACCATGAACAGATGTTACTGGTCGGTGGTGTCTGCAGCCTTGCGCCACAGCTGGGATACTGTTTGCTGTGGTGTGCGAGTGTGTGCTTGTGATTTGCTGGCTCACGGTCCATTACACCATCACATAAATGATTGTTGATAGAATGTCTGCCTTCTCAGATATGGTCTCTTTGTGCTGACAGGGTTATTGCGTTTCTCATACAGAATGGTACAGTAATAATAATGAGTTGTTGTTTTATAACAAAATATATATTAAGTACCTCTCAACCCTGACAAGGATGGAAAAAAAACACCCATTAATCTGATTCTGGGTCGCAGTAAATTTTCCGTGATTTATTGTCCTTTTTAATGTTGTTTTAAATAAATTTTTATTTATGTTCCGCTTGTTTTTACACGTTGCGTCAAGAGTGATTTAAGATGCGGCAGCTGAAGTGCAAGGAGACTTGAAGATAAACTTGCTAAAATATGGCCGGCGTTTCAGATGGACTTAACCTCACTGTCCCAAGAAAAAAATAAGAGCACGGCCAGCTAAGGAGAGACATTTCTCATAACATTTAAATAGCTTGTGTGAAACAGAAAATGCCAAAAGACACCAAATAATCTATTATACGTAGGACGGATTCTCTGAATGACGCGCATCATTACCTTGCATGAGACACAGCCCCATGCTAACGGTAGCTGGTCTGTGACTGAGACTTCTTAGATTTCATCTGTGAAGAGCAGTTCCCCATTTCCAACCCCCCCAAGTCTGCTGCGAAATGTACATGTTTGGGACCTGATGAAAACAGAATGAAGAGGTCGAAGGTCGTCGCGTGAGCGGAATCTGGACACGGGTGCCGTCTTATTCGCTTGATTACACTCTAAACATTTGCCCCCTCGTGGCTTTATGGCTGAACACTCAGAGATTTCAGAATGATTATTATTAGTTTAGCAGAGACCAGTTAACGAAAACAACCGTTTCCAATTGCCGGAATTTCCTCAAGCACTCAGGTCTGTCAGATGGTGGCGTGGTTTTCTTTTTTTCCGGCGATGGCCTCTGGAGACCGCCGTCATCGGCACGCTCCAGCTCGCGGGTCCGTTGCCAGGGCGCTGCGTTTGCCGAGCCAAGGCACAGCCGCCATAAATCCTGGCCACGTAGCCTCGAACAAGGTTCTCCGTCTCGCTCCCTGTGTTTACTCGGACACGCTGTGCCTCACAAGGGTGTTTTAATGAGCCTCGGTTCATTTACCGGCAGGACTCCAGGAAGCTCTTCTGGGTCCCAAACTGCAGTGCAGCGTGAGCAACAGACCTGCACCAACCTCAGATTGTACCCCGCGATGGGAGGCTATCCCTGTGGCAATCGGCAGCTTCATAACTGGAGTTGCAGGTCGATGCTCGACAGCCAGCCCTTGGTTGCGATAAACGTGGTTCCGCGTTCAGAGACTGCGGACACGTTTGCGTCAATATATCACTTTGCTGCCTGTCCAAAATTTCTGTCATCCCGAAACCAAGGTCAGGTCCACATGAACACATTATGTGGGTCCCCCTTTTTGAAAATGTACAACTCAAGGGCACAACTGAAGTCACATATGAAGGTAAGTGCTGGAATGTGTCTGACCCATTAAATTGTTCAAGGTGACAGGAAAACCTTGAGCCAGACACAGTAATGCCCTCCTCTCCGCCGTTTGCTGTGCTTGTCTGTCATCTTTCGGCTGCCATTGACTTGAGGGACTCAAGGTTTCTCCTGAACTGAGGCTCTCCGATCCTTTAAGGCTGTGTTTATAGAAACCAGAGCGCGAGGTCACCTCCATTTTCATTTGCTGTCTTCCCACATTTTTTTTTTAAACCGAAGCCCTAGTTGTTTTCGTACTTTTCCCGGCAATCTGTTCCCGTAACGGGGAAATGTGCTGTGGTGGGTTGACATTTAAGTTACCTGCAGTATTTCTCTCGCTCAAGGACAGATGGTTCCAAATTATAGTTGTTAGTTGTAGTATATTATAGTATAGTTAAGTTGTTTTCCAGAAGTCATAAAACTTTATTTACACATGCATTAAAGACGAGAAAGGTAAGGACCTAAGTTTAAACTTGTTGTTTTTAAAGAAAACGCTTACCAAAAGCTCGGTGCAGTGTTTTTGTCATGTATTGGCGTCGTCTGATTTACGTGTAACTCCACCCATATCTCTGTCTCTCTAGCGCCATCTGCAGTATCCATCATGCATCAGGTCAGCCGGTCTGTGGACAGCATCACTCTGTCCTGGTCCCAGCCAGACCAGCCAAATGGTGTCGTCCTGGACTATGAGCTTCAGTACTACGAGAAGGTGAGCAAGGAGAGAGCCTGTTGTTCATCCACCCGTCAGGAACCAAACATCTTCTAAACAGGCCAATTTTATACCCTGACAGATGTAGTCACTGCTGGAGGCTAAGGATTCCTTCTTGCGTTTTAAGAGCTGAGAAATTTTTATATTGTTTAGTTGCCAGTCAGTTTAAAAGATTCCAGTTTTAAATTTATTTTTCTTTTTATGAATATAAAATACCAAGGCTTGTAACAATGGCAACATTATTTTCACAGTTCATTATACACACATAACTCCACATAACAAACTGTTTACTACCTTTTCCCAGTGAGAGATGCTAATGTAGCATTAACCATTCCTGACCAGCATATAAAACCTGTTCACCTGAGTTTATTTAAAAAAACTGCACACTTTCACTATAAAAATTCAAAAGGAGAAGTATAAGTAAAATAAAAATTTAGTATTAAAAAGGAAAAAAAAAATCAAAATTCTGAGGGTGCCTGTTATAGCAGGGATGTGGATAGAGGCACCTACTGTACCGCAGATTCAGACATTTGGAGTTTTCGTCGAATCGTATTGTAAAATTAGTGAGAGTGACAGAGGTTGTGTCTGACACGGCTGAGCTGTTCTCTGTCCGGCTGCCAGTTTGGCGCAGTCTCTGGGTCACTCTTTGGCAGCTGTCTGCGGCTGCTGCGATTGCGTAGCTGACTCCTAACCTCAGCCTTTGTACTCCCATACGAATCAGGAATGCAGACAGTGCTGGGCGTGCGGCAGTGGCGCAGTGGCGTCTTCGAACCCTCACACTTCAGCAGTCCCGCAAATCCATGCAGATGTTCCTACTGCTCTCTCATCTCTGTCTTTTTTTTTTGCTGCAAAAGTCTTAGGCAGTCAAAGAAAATCATGTTCAAATGATGTTAATGTTGGTGTGGCACGAATAACAGTAAAATACTATATGTGCCCAATCAAATAAAGTGTTACCATGATACGTCCGTCAAAGTGTGTCAGCGTAGCCATTTCAAAACCTCTCCTAAAGTCACCCAAATATTTGTGGCGACCATCCAATGGACCATCCAACCTACCCAACTTTGTTAGGATAATCAATACCTCATCAAGTTACTTTATTAATTCATTTAGTTAATTGAGCTGGTGGTGAAATTTAACGAATAAATTAAATGTCTGGGCTGCCTCTGAGGAGAGGGAACCAAAGACGTGTTTATCTAGCCATCAGAAATCTGTAACTTTTTGGAGACCAGAAGAAATTCTTCCTTTTTTTTATCTGTTACTGTTAATTTGCAGGTTTTGCCCAGTACCATATATTCTACCAGCTTTCTCTAAAGAACGAATCCAGTCTGTCTGGTCAGCTTATTGCATCATATTCATTTAGGGGAGGCTGACTAAATGGCAGAGTGGTGGCTCTGAGCCTAGAGATGTGTGCTGGCAATCATAAGGTTGCTGGTTTGAATCCTGTGAACACCCAGAGTGCATCTACTCTGTTGGGCCCTTGAGCAAGGCCAGCAGGATTGGCACTCCAGTTACAGGGGAAAAGCTTCACCCTCTTCCCTTCAAACTAGTGTGATGCTGAGGTATCACCCACTGCATGGTTGGACTTGGGGTCTCATCCCTTGGTGTGTGTTCCTTAGCTCTCTCTTTATCGTACACTGCATTCTCTCTCTCTCTTTATCTTACACCGCATCCTCTCTCTCTCTCTCTCTCTCTCTCTCTCCCTATCTTACACCGCATCCTCTCTCTCTCTCTCTCTCTTTATCGTACACTGCATCCTCTCCCTGTCTTTATCGTACACTGCATATGTTATTGCAAAAGCAGGCTCAGTCAGTCCCTGGAGCAGTTAGGCATTAAAAGCCATGCCTTGGAAGCAGACAGTGAAATGACTCTGCTGAGCCTGGGATTTGAAGCTGCCAGCTTCTGACTACAAGCGCACTGTCCGAACCTGCTGAACCACAGCAGCTTTTATAGATGTCAGTCTGTCTATCTATCTATCTATCTATCTCCATCCATCCATCCATCCATCCATCCACCCACGTCTTCTAACCCCTTATCGAGTATAGGGTCACACTGACCCCGCGGTCTATCTTAGGAGGTACAGCGCACATGCCTGGGGACATTCTGCATGGGATGTCTGTCCTCCACAGAGCATGCACTCTTATACACGTACCATGGGCATTGTTTTGAGAGACCGGCTTCCATAGATGCATGCTTTGGGGCTATGAGACAATGCTAGAATACCCAGGGAAAGCCCATATCAGCATGACATGAGGAGAAGACGCAAATTCAAACACACAGAGCTGGGACGTGGGTGTGCAGTACTGCCCCATAAGCTAATGTACCACCCTGTTTGATAGTACAGTAGGGAGAAATTATTTTAAGACATTTTAAAAGATTAAACAATGTGTGTATGAGTGTTTGAGGCATGTAGGTGAGAAGGTGTGTTTGACACGTACCACAAAGACTGATCACTTTAAACCTGCGAAATCTATTTTTTCCCCACATTTTCGTGCTGCTAAGCTGTAGAAGTTGGGAGCATCAGTATTACAGTGAAAAAATGAGCCAGAGCCCGGTTTAGACTGCGATACGCCGCCGACGGCAGTCAGAATGACGAGCATCTCTGACCTTGTGATCTCATTTCAAGATGACTTGAGATACCTGGTATGGAAAGTGGGAGACATCTCCAAGACCCTGCAGAGAACCTGAGCCATCTTTGAGTTTTGCCATAGATAGTTTGACAAGCACAAAAAACAAACCTGAGAAATAGGAATCTAAGCCGAAAGTTTCACCTTTGCGTTTTGAGATGTTATTCTTATCCAAATGCAAAATTGGACAGAAAACACAGATCTCACAATAGCCTTTTCTTTTCATTCCTGGGGTGCACTTAACCTAAAGTGTTTTGGGATTCACCTACGCTGATTCATATTCTGTTTGATTTTCTGTGATGACAACCTTTGAAGGACGGGAAGATGTGGAATAGGCAGTTTGACTTGACCGTTGACAGTCGGAGTGTCAAAACTGCATTTGAATGCACATGGAATTTTCCATGGAACACCAGCAAATGATGTTGAGAGTTCTGCTCAGATACAAAGGGGAGATTTGCCTGCCTTGCGGACAGTTATAGTGAAGCTGGGAAAGGCGTCGTTCTGAAGCTGGATCCTCCCCAATCGCAGCTTCACCACTTAACAGCAGATGTTTGGAAATCTTGTTCCTTTCACCATAATTCATGCATGAAACAAATCGGTTTTTGTTTATTTAAACTGCCGAGCCCCTTCCATTGCAGATAGTTGGGTTTAGTTCCAGCTAAATTCCAAAGGAGCTGTTCATTTTTCTTTCACTCATTAAATACTCATTATTTGAACAGGGACGTTTTGGGTGAGTGCATTTGTGTATTAGTGGGGGGGCACTTAACCCATTTACAACCATTAGTTTTCCTATCAGCCCTATCAGCAGACCTTAGATCTCCTAGCAGTGAACTGACGTGAAGTTACCTGGAGAATATTTTGTCTGCTCTCCACCCTGAAGGACCAGGCAGAGTACAACTCATCCATGGTGAAGAGCCAGACCAACACAGCGGTCATCCAGGGTCTGAAGTCTGGCACCATCTACGTGTTCCAGGTGCGGGCCAGAACAGTGGCCGGCTTTGGACGCTACAGCGGCAAGATGTACTTCCAGACCATGACAGAAGGTGCAGCCGTCTTTATAGAATAGGGATTTGCAGCCTTCTAGATTTTCATGTTGTGTATCCTCATTAGTTACTTTGTATGAATGCTACCAAAAGTAATGTAGCATTCATTTAAGCTGAAGTGCTGTTCTTCAGTGGTACACACTATGCCTGTTGTTGTCAGCAGAAAATCAGATAAATGTTTTATTACGTATGACTTCAGATCACAAAGAATCAGCCTGAGTCAAGTAATTGTCATTCTCAAGCTACCTGTCTGACCATAACCGTAAATGCACATGAATAATTGGGGAGCAATAAGCCCCAGCACATTTAAAACCTTCCTCGGTTCACCTACATCCACATGCTCCTCAAACCATCTCTGGTGTGACAGCCTTAGAAAGGGTCTTCTGCACTTCTGGCCCTCAGCATCCCACCCACCTTCTGACCTCACAGCCTTTATTAGGCGCGCCCTGTTCTTCTAGAACAGTGTTTCCACACCCGGTCCTCAGGGGTCCACGGACAGTCCACATTTTCGCTCCCTCCCAGCTCCTATCACACCTGAACCAGGTATTTAGTGGTCTAGATTGTTCAGTTGGGGAGGGGGCATGGTGGTGCAGTAGTTAGTACTGTTGCATCACGCCTCTAAGATATGGATTTCCTCTGAGTACTATGGTCCAAAAACATACTGAGGTTAGTTGGAATTACTAAAAAGCCCATAGGTTAGATAGGCTTGTGTGGGTGCCTTGCAATGGGTTGCTCCCTGTCTCACACCCATAGGCTCCAGACCCCACATGACCCTGAATAGGACAAGCAGTTACAGAAAATGGATGTATTGTTTTATTCAAGTGTGTTGGAAACTGGGAACAAGCAAAAATGTGGACCGCTGGGGGTCTGTAGGAAACACTGTTCTAGAACAACATCTACCAAATGTTTTGGAGCTCTGGCTGATAATTCTATTCACAGCAAACTTGCCTACCTTTCTCAAAGGTACAACAGCTTGCCTTTATCTGGGACTTGAACTTAATCCTTCCGGTTACCATGAGATCCATCTCTGTTAACCACCCTACTGACTGCTGCTTCGTAACTCAGGAGACTCGTGGAAAATACAGTTCAGAGCTATACATCTGCTTTCAGTCTACCTGCTTTGGAAGTTCTAACCAAAAGTTCTGCTCCAACAGAGGAGTATAAAACCAGCCTTCAGGAGAAATTGCCTCTCATCGTCGGCTCGGCCGCCGCTGGCGTCGTCTTCCTCATCGCCGTTGTAGTCATCATCATCGTTTGTAACCGGTGAGTTTTTCTTGTCACCCTGCCAACCTTTTCCTGGACGCTGTGCCGTTTACTGCTTTTTAACCATCCATAAAATGTTAACGACCATTAAATCAAGCCACTAAAGTGAGCCCAGAAATTGAAGATAATGTTAAAAGCAGGCCGTCCTGGTGCCCGTTTCCAAGGTCTCGCGCTCGGTGTAGCCTGGGCCTTGTCGCGTGGTGCGGTGGTAACGGTGTTATGCGGCCGTCACGTAGACGGCCGGCCGGCAGTGTAGCATTGTGGGAAGGCGCCTTCCCTCCTTGTGCCCCCGCTTTACAGCCGTATGCCTTTCCGTCAGGAGGCGGGGCTCTGACAGGGCGGAGTCAGAATACACAGACAAGCTGCAGCACTACACCAGTGGGCACAGTGAGTATCTGCTCCCCCCCGCACGCCTGCCAAACTGGGGGCTGCTGACCCCTAACCTCCATGTACCTGTGTATCACACACCATTTTAAAGCCACAGAAGATGTCACCTTTCCCCATGTTCCCATCGTCTCTGTTGTTCTCTGAGTTCCAGCCTCGTTTCACTCCGCCCTGCTATGTGCAGTTGTCACCAGAGGGGCCCTTCTGGGGCGGAACCTTCTAAGTAAAATCTGAAAATAGCTCGACCCTCTGGTCTGACAGGAGTCTGAAACTGTTCTCCCAGAAGCCCTCGTTGTCCAGGGTCTGTTTTATTGGGCTGAGGATTTTATTTTTCTTGCTGCTCCCTCCTCATTCGGACCCTGTTCTCTAACTGTGATTGCGTGTCCACGCCACCTTTCTGCAAAGGCCCGTGATTCCAGACCGGACTTCCCGTGCACACAAAGGCGCTCAGTATGACTTCAGCGGTTCATTATTTGCACCTGCAATGCTGACAGCTCAGGGAAACCACAAACGCAAAACACAGTATTTATGGCGCATAAAAGTATGGATGCTATTAGGCATTGAAGGGTGAGAGATAAAGGAGGCCGGGCGTAACAGCGGCCATCCCCGGCACCTCCGGGCCGGGCCACCAAAAGCCGCGGATCAGGAATCGCTGGCAAGCCGTCATGGAAGCTGAGATTGGGGCTTTCTGGCTCCGCTCGCTCTGGGATACGCCGGGCCGCCCCCACGCGAGAAAGGCAGGTTTGGATAAGGTCAGGTGCTGAGCACGGTTCCTCTCTTCATGCTATGTTCGTGTCTGAGGTTTAACTGGGGAAATTTTGGAAGATTAAGGAGCAGAGGCTGGACCATAAAAGACGTTACATCCATTTATAAATCCTTAGCTTTCACTCTTTACTGAAACTCGCTTAAAATACTTTCTGGTTCCTTGCCTGTATGTTATGTAGTTATGGCAATAGAATCTAATCCAGCAAAGATGGTGTCCCAAGCCGTTCTGCACGGCAGCAGACAAATTGTTTTCTAGTGTCTTTGCCTTTTTTGGTGGTGAAATCTCCTGTGTGAGGGCTGTGTTACTTCACTAGGTGTGGTTTCCATCCCTGTTCTTGGGTTCTTGGTGCGACCAAACGAGTCAGAAATCTGTGTCACTTCTAAGTAACTAGCTGTGATTTTTTTTTTTTTCGTCCCTCAAGGACCACAAAAAGCCACTTCAGTCGAATTCCAGAGCGGCTGAAATGTCGGCTTATTTCCTGGAACTGGACGTAGTTATGAGCAGGTTTTCAAAGTGTATCTCCTGCTCCCTGGCCAGCGGCTCCCATGCAGTTCACGCTTATGTGGGCGGCTGTGAAAACTGGTGAAAACTGTTTGAAAGGTGACCATGGGGTTTTGATCCTCCTCCCTGTATTGCTTCACCTGACATCTGCCAGTGTGCTAAAATCTGCCTTCAATTCCCTTCCGTTTAGTTGCACCATGTCACCCTGAACACCTTCGCTGGTGTGCCCTTGGCATTTTCTCCTATCTGAAATTGAAAATGTGTCAACAGCATCAGATTTCAGGTTTTAAAGACAGATCTTTGACCCAGCCGCTGGGTTTAGCCTGAGATTGTGTGTGTGTGTGTGTGTGTGTGTGTGTGTGTGTGTGTGGAAGGGATGTTCCACCAGTCCGGAGATAATTACAGCTGCGGTTCCTTTCTCTAAGTGGCACCAGGGATGAAGATCTACATTGACCCGTTTACATATGAGGATCCCAACGAGGCTGTCAGGGAGTTCGCCAAGGAAATCGACATTTCCTGCGTGAAGATCGAGCAGGTCATTGGCGCAGGTAGGCTCCTGCTCAGCGAAGCAGAAGGAATGGGGGAAGAACCTGGAAGAGGATGCCAAAAATGGACGGTGCTAGAACCGCAGGATGCCAACAGTGTGGATTTTCCCGGGGGCTCCAGACACGTTGGCAAGTTGTTTTAAGACTTGGACCAGAGGAGTTGTTTTTGGAGATAAAAGAAGTGGTAGAAGTGTTAAATGTATTACATTATTTTAGCATGACAATGGTAATCCATCCATCCTCTACCCACCTACACAGTACAGAATCAAGGGGGGGTTTATAGTTTAGAGATTTATGAAAAAGGGAGTCTGATATTGAGAAGTCATGCGAGCAGACTACATAAATTAGTGTACGTTTATTTAGTTGGGGAGGGTTAAGAACATTTCTGAGGGGCTAAAGCCCGTCCATTATAGGGCCGGCACAGGCACACACGCACCCCCCCACACACGCACCCCCCCACCCACGCAGGCAATTCCAAGGCACCCCTTCACCAGGCTGCATGTCTCGGGAATTCTGGGGGGAACTGGACTGTGCAGTGGGTAGCTGCATAAAATCAGGGCGATCATGCAATTCCACATATAGACAGCTGGGGCAGGATTCAAACCCCCCCCACGTGGGAGATGTAAAGGAACAGTGCTGCCTGCTGGGACACTGACACTGCCGTTCACTTTAGGATGAGAGTATGGATAGTTGTATTGTTAGTGCTGATCCTAGCTTGAATAATTTTAGTTGGAAAAATTGCAAAGATACAGATATCCATGCTTGTGTAGGTCAGGTGTTAATTCTCAAGCCCTTGTAGGTTAGAGGGGTCCTAAAATTCTCTGTTGCCTTTGCAGGACATGGTCCGTTTATATGGGCCATAATAAGTTCACTCAGTGGGAGGGGGGTAATGTCTATACTTTTTTTGTGGAGTAATATTGATTTTGCTGCGGTTGTTCCCTCTTGACTCTCATTTGTGAGGTGATGCGTGTGGAAACGAGGTCAGCTGGTTAGCTCAGGTACTGGGAGGCAGGGGGGGGGGCGGCCATGTTGGTGTCTTCCAAGACTTTTTGGGGTTAATGTTGGCATGGGTGCGGTTTGACATGTCTGTGTTTAGTGGACCTCATTAGCGTCCCGTGCCTTGCATGGAATTAGCGTGTGTGAAGGGCTCTGCCTCCAAGCTCTCGCCCTCCTCCCCAGGTGAATTCGGAGAGGTGTGCAGTGGCAGTCTGAAGCTCCCGGGCAAGCGGGAGATGCTGGTGGCCATCAAGACCCTGAAGTGCGGCTACACGGAGAAGCAGAGGCGTGACTTCCTGAGCGAGGCCAGCATCATGGGCCAGTTCGAGCATCCCAACGTGATCCGCCTGGAGGGCGTGGTCACCAAGACCACGCCCATCATGATCGTCACCGAGTTCATGGAGAACGGCTCGCTCGACTCCTTCCTCAGGGTGGGTGCCCTCTTCGACTCCCCCCCCCCAAGTCGGCTTGCATCTGTTCTTCTCCCCCTCCCCCACAATATTCATTTTGGTATTTCATGGGGGTGGTGAAGGACTTTAATACTTGCCTCTCTTTCTCTGATCTTCTCTTTGGAAACCAACTAGAGGCAGTCTCCCTGCGCTCCGTAAATATCAGCAAGCTATTGAGTCCGCAGTGATTAGCCATGTGTTGCCGTCTTGTATGATTGTGCTGTCAGAAAGATGCCCAATTCCGTTTCTCATGTCAGCGCCGCTCAGAAAGAAAGATAATTTGGGCGCCAGGCAGCTCATGAATCATGACCTGACAGAGATGAGTGCACAGTGAGATGTAATCCAGCTACGGCTTGATAGAGTCTCCTGAAGGAAGACGAGTAGAATGTAGGATTGTCAAGATATAGTTTAGGGATGGAGGTTGAAATTTGTGTAAGTTTCCTAATGAAAGCATCCAAAATTTTTACTGCTAGTTCAGCTTGGCACGCACACACGCGATTTGGTCTTTGGTGACACGATGCGTGTCTGAACTTAGCCATGTTCCCGGGGCGGAGATCCCAACATGCCGCTGAAGTAGAGGCGGGTCAAAAGGGTACCGGGACTGCGCCCCCTGGTGGCAAATCCTCTTAACACGCTCATCTCCGGTCAGCCATCTGCCTCATTTCCGCCTGCGCGGAGGTGAAAGGGGAGAGCCCATCCACTGAGAGGACGAAACTGGCCAAAGCGACGAATCGCACTGAAAGACAGCGATGTGTAAGGCATGCTGAAACTTTCGCAGGTGCATCACACTGTAAAAAGCATTTTCACCCAAGCACCAGTGACGGAACCTTAATAATTCATACGCTCAGCTCAGAATGAACAGAATCTGCTCTCTTCAGTATGAACCACCGGGCTGCTGTCACGGGAAAACTGCCACTGACATTCACAGATGAGTAAATGTAACATTTTGTTTGCTCGTCACAGATAGCTGTACAATTTATAGTTTTTTTTTTTTTACTTTTATGGAAAAAAATATAGTTTTCCTAAAGATTTACTTCTTGGTGATTCAAATAAACGAGGAAAACAGAAGCTGAGCAGCTGAACCCTTAAGTAAATGAAGTGTAGCGGTGAGAGACTGACTGGTCTTCTACTGCCTATAATGTCATTTTAGCTTCAGCAGCTCTGGCTCTGGCCGTCTCACACGCGATACTGTTACGAAACACGGTTTGAATCATTGATGCATTTTAAAAACAACGACTAAAACCTATCATATGAATCCCATTGCCAAACTACTCCCTCCATTTACAATGATAAATAAGGTTATACTGAACAAACTCAGCAGAAACGTGGCTGCAATCTTAGCTAGAAAAGAGTCTCTCCTTAAAATATCAACTTACAAAATAGGCAAAACTTGATTGCTTACATTTATTTTGACATTAATATTAATGGTGCATGCATAGAAAGTTTCCACTGGGCTTCTTTTGGTTGCTTCTGCACAAAGTCGCCTTGTTGGCAGTGTTTGCTCCTCTGTCTGTTCTGCGGCTTATGCACCGTCACTGTTTTTGAAGAGAGTCAGAGCCACGTCAGTGTGAACGGCGATATCGTTCATGAGTGTTCATTGGTGGAGGGGAAAAAAAAAACACCCTCTTGAACACGTTTAAGCCAATCAGCATGCAGGGTTCAGTCATACCCGTGAGTCGCTCACTGTGCTGGTCCCTGGGGCTGTGTACAGTGCGCTGGTCCGTACACCTCGGCAGCTCAGGGTCCTTTTACAGAAGCCCCCGATGTGTGGGCCCCTGCCAGGCTCCGCTCTCGCTGTTCCAGGCTGTCGGACAGATGACTGATGTGGCTGTAGCTCCGTCAAAACACAGCCTGCTGCCCTTGACGTGTCATTAGCGCACGGACAGGTGGTGGCTGAACTAGGTGGAGGTTTCAGTAGCAGTAGATGATGCAAAACCTGCTAGTTTTTGTGGTAGGGGCTGCTTTTGGGGATATTGTAAATAGTTTAATAGTTGTTTATCTTTAAACAACAAAGATATCCATTCATCCATCCATCTGTTCATCCGTGCATCCATCCATATTCCACTTATCCATTATGTATTAATTGGGCCGTAGGAAGCAGGGGGCTGGGAGAACATGTACCCCCCCTATAAATAGACCTTTGTTAAGTTGTGTCCCCCCCACCCAGTATTAAACTGCTACGCCACTGGCAGAGCCTGACGAATATGTCCCAGGAGGCAGAAGACACTTTGGATGGGATGTCAGTCCATTGCAGTGACAGACACACACAGTGACACACAGACACACACAGACACACACACACACACACACACACAGACACACACAGACACACACACACAGACACACACACATGCACATTTTATTTCCATGTATTACACAGCACTGAATTACCTATCTTCAGAACATCGGCAGAGGTGCTATTTCCATTCGTTTGTTTAGCCGATGCTTTTATGCAAAATGACTTATGATTTTACCCATTCGTACCCCAGAATATATTTACATAGGCAA